TGGAGGCAAAAAGAGAGGAGTGAGGAGGAAAGAAGCGGGGCTTACGGGATGTGGGAAAGCTCAGAAAGCAAGTGCTGTGAGGCAAAGGCAGGTCTCGGCTTCTTTGTAGGCCACTGGAGGGGTTTGAGGCCGTAGGGAGCAGCCCGGGCTGCAGAGATGGAGCTGCTTCTCATGTCCAGGCACATGACTAGGCCGGGGGCACTCCATGGCTGGCGGGAGCTCAGCTGGCGCTGACACGGTGGCCTCGCCGCCCAGCCTGGTCCCGGGGGCAGCACCTCCCTCGGCTTTCACCTGCCTGGCCCCACGGACTTGCCCCAGCACCTCCCACTTCCAGCAGCTCCAAAGGGCAGGAGCTGCTCTCCAACGGCCGGAGGTGCTCCAGGGGCAGTGGGGGTCTAGGAGGGACGGCGGGGCCTGCAAAACGACCTTCGCTGCTGCCGTCTCCTCGCTCTATGCTGCTTATTTGCGTCGAGTTCGGTCTCTTACCCTGCCTGCTGCTTGCGTACGTTTGCTTTAATGTTAATAAGTAATTTCAAAGAAACCACCGCTCAGTAAATGAGCCAAATCAGCTTTTCTTTCACCGTTTAACCTGAGGAAAAGAGAGGTGACCCTCTGTAACCCGCAGAGCCAACTGATGTGCCGGGAAAATGCCTTGTCCCTCGGCGTTCGCCTGGCAGGGGAAATGCAGGGCAGCGGCAGGGGCTGGGGTGCAGAGCCCTTGGGTGGAGGGATGGCTGGGAGGCCCCCCACCACCCAGCCCCGGCAGAGCGAGCTGCTGTCGGATCAAAAGCGCAGCCACAAGCAAGAGCGAGAGAAGGAAACAAGAAAACCACACTGCATGAAAGAGGCAGAGGAACACACCGAGAGAGGGAGATGGCCTACTCTGCACTGGGAGCGGTTGCTGGGTTTTTTTGGTGGTTTTGGTGTGTTTTTTTTAATTTCAGTTTCCTGTGTCATGCCGGTGCCAGCCTGGGGAAGAGCTCTCAGCAGCCATCGCCCACTGAGGCTCAGCGCTGGAGGGGGCGAGGGGCTGCCAGCCCCTCATGGCAATCGCATCTTCGCCAGGGCAGATCTGGTCCTTCAGGCATCATCCCCCGGAGCAAGACTGCTCACTACCTCAGCTCTCCTTTTCCTATCCCTCAGAGAGGCAAGGTTTATTAAAATAAGTCAAGAAGGAAATTAAACCAGTTTAATAAGAGGGGGAAGTTAAAATGAAATGGAAATCAATGTTCACTTGGGAGGGAGCCCTGCTCCTCCGGTGCTAGACGTGCTAATAAATCAAGTGTGCTTGGTCTGTTTCTGGCACAGAGGCCAACTGGCATGAGATGGTCTGGGCTATTAAACTCACTTAACCTCCAAAATGAACTGGCTACGTGCCAGCCACCTAATGGGAGTGGTCCCTGGCCCAGGCAAAATGCACCCTGGGAGTTGCTTAGGAGAGCAAGAGTTGTCCTGAGCCAAAAATGTGTCAGGAAATGTTCTAATAATTTAACAGGACTGATGAGTGTGTTCCAGTGCCTGGGGACATTCCCTGACACCGCTTAATTTATGAGTACCACCGTAAGATACAGCTGGGCTGTCTGTAAGGAGGCTGTGGGTCTGCTACAGGCATCCGCTAATGAGGGTGGCTTGCTCGGTTAACATCGCAGAGCCTTGCTCACCAAGATCTGCAAACCCCAGAGTAGCACTCCCTGTAATCTGGCCTGGAGGGACACAGAAGGAGATGGAAAGACAGGGAGAAAATAGGAAGTGGCATGTCTGAGAACTAGAGATAAACAGGGAGGGAGAGAGAGAAAGCGTACGAAAGAAATGCTAGCCCGAAGGCAACCCATTTTCCCCACTGACTTGTAACATCCAGGTGGTAAGCACTATATCATAGAGATCTGACACGCAAATAGGATTAGTGGGAGTGAAGTGGGAATGCAGAACGCGTGAAACCCTGGGGAGAAAAACGAAGGCACATCGATCTGCATCTGCCGAGCTGCGCGAGGTCAGAGGTTCACTGGTCCCACCGTGCTCTGGTTGTGTGGTTTTGCTCAAGGAGCAAAGTGAAGAACAAACTGAAGCCACAAGATGACACGAAAATAGAGATTCCCAGCCAAAACAAAATGATGAGGTGTGACTCAGCGATTTCATTAATTTTTACCTGTCTCATTGCCTTCAGGTTTTATATTGTTTAATGACTTAAAATATTTGAAACTCAGCACTGACCCTGTTAATTTGTTGATATCACTTTAGAGTGGGGGCTGAGTTTTCCTGCTGGTCCCACCGGGACAGATGACACAAGTGTTCACAGCGGGGACGAGGTTTCTTCTGTTGTCTCAGGAGCGGATCTTACTCAGGGCCCTACTCCAGTTCTCGGTCATAGATGCTTCTTCCGAGTGAGATGCATACAGATGCCTTGTTGTCACCCCTTTACGCTGCAGCCTAGCCCAGCAAACTGCTTGATCCCTGCTGCTGCATCTCGTTAGAAGGGATCTCCAATCACGTGCACTGCCTCCTTGGTTTTACCGTTTTTGCACAAAACAGCTCAGGCAAATACTCCCTGGGGCTGGGATGGGTTTTTTGCTTCGCGCGACGCGAGCCACAAATCCTCGCTGACTGTGCCTTTGCCACCTCCTTCTCTTCTGGCGGTGCACATGGCTGCTGCCTTGCTCCTGCACCTCCGTTTTTCACACGTGCGTGTGCCCACATCCGTCTGGCTGCCAGGCTGACCTGACCTTTGCGGGAAGGTAGCGCTGACGATTTCATCTGTTCTGTGATAGTTCCATGTGCTCTGATAATTTAAATTAATTTCAATATTAAATGATCAACTAATAGAATATATTATACTTAATATTGCACGTAAGACATACCAATATTGTATCAAATTATTCTTGCATTTCTTTTGAGTTCAGTCCCATTATGACTCCAGCCTATCACGCTCCTGGCATGCAGAGTGCCTGTTTTTGGAGAAGTGAGGTCGCATCACTGGTTTTGCTCGCTCCCCAGACCAGTGAACCTGCTTGGCTACCCTTTTTGTGATATATGGCCGGACTCCTGGCATGCAGAGTGCCTGTTTTCGGAGCAGTGAGGTTGCATCACTGGTTTTGCTCTGCCAGTGAACCTGCTTGGCTACCTCTTTTGTGATAGATGGCCCGTTTTAGGGATGGAGAGCTCGGTAGTCTCCTGTCCGCTTCACCTTGTCAGCCCACCCAGCTGCAGCTGGTAGCAGCACTTGGTTGCTGCTAGAGTCAGAGTCCTCCTCTCGTTTGATAACTCACCTTAACACGGTAGTTAGCTCCCAGTTCCCTCTTAAGGTTCTGTTATCATCAGTGCAATTTCTTCTTTCAAACCTCATTCCTCCCTTCTTCCCAGATTTTGTATTGAATTCAAGCAAGTCTTTCCAACGTCAGACTCGGCGGCTACTGAGATTTTTAAGGTAAGGGACAAGTAGACTAAAACCAAACTGAAGATAAAAGTTAATAACAGCCTAAAGATAGCCTCAATCGTAGAATCACTAAAATCACACCTAAATATTGAGATGGCAAGGGGCCTCTGGAAGGCTCCAGTCCAACCTCCTGCTCACAGCTGGGTTGACTCTGAAACTACAGCATGTTGGTCAAGGCCTTGTCCGGGGAACTTCTGAACGTCTCCCAGCGTGGAGATTGCCTGGCATCTCTTGGCACCTGTTCCAATGCTAAACCACCCGCAGCAGGAAGTTTTTCCTTATATCTAGTCAACAGTTCCTTGCTGCAACCTATGGCTGCTGTGTCCTGTTCCTCTCCTGTGCACATCCGAGGAGGATGTGGCTCCTTCTAGGTAATATCCTTTAGATAATGGGAGACTGATTTAGATCCCACCTTGGCTCTCTTCTTCCTACCAAATCCAGATTCCTGACTCTCCCTGTATATCATGTGCTCCAACCTCCTCACCATCCCAGTAGCCCTTCATTGGACTCTGTCCGGTTTGCTGGCATCTGTCTTGTACTGGCACCCCAAAGCTGGATCCTGTATCCTAGATGAGACCTCAGCTGTGCCAAATAGAGGGAAATAATTACTTCCCTCAGCCTGCTGGCTGTGCTCTTGCTAACACAAGATGTGCTTAGCCTTAATTGCTCCAAGAGCAATTATAACCCACCATAGAGAAGTAAAAAAGCATGGAATTCTCACCAATATAAGCACCTGCAGTCCAACGAATGCCAGAAACCTAGGGATGAGCAAAATGAAATGTTTAATACTTAACCCTTGGGGGAACGTTTCACCTGGATTCTTTGCTGAAACGCAGGGCTCTGGTGACTTCACCAATGAGTTTCCACTTCGATGCACTGAAGGATGGTGGGTGCTGACTGGGAACGTGGGCTCAATCCACCGAGGTCTGAACATCAACCACCATTAACAGGGCATTTGGGTTTTCCAGGATAGCATCCCTTGGCAGCGACAGCATTTCCAGCCCTGCAGTCCACAGCAGGGAGGAGCGTTCCCGCAGCAATGGAGTCACGTGGCACAGCGGTGAGCATCACGCTTGCCATCTTCTTGGTTTTGCAGCTGGGTGAGTCCTTGGCTCAGTGAACCCTCCTGGTGCTTACAGCCTTTCCACAAGCTTCACAACATTTGGGGTGGTTTAGGCTCCTCTTGATTTACCATATAACGTACCTCACGCAGTTTAGAGCAGGCTCATTCCAGCCACGAACCTGTGACAGCTGCCTTCTTACCTTGCCTGGCCCAGCCCTGCACTGCCTGAGGACAGCGGGGCTAGAAGCTGAGGGACCCCCTACATCCCTATCCTGTTATTACAGAGGCAGCATGGACAGCTTAAATTTTGGGACTCAGGTTGTTCCCAGCCTGCCTGCTGAGCCTGGCAGCCAAAACCTGGTTGCCTGGAGCATCATCAGGTGTGTGGAGCTGCCCTGTAGAGATGCAGGAGTTGGGTTCCTGTGAGAACCAGGGTGCACACTGAGCACAGAAAAGGCTCCACACTGCCTCCAGCTGCCCGGGCGAGCTGTGTTTCTCACCACAGATTTGCCCTCACAAATGTGATGCTACCGGCGTGCTCAGTTTGGTTTGGTGGACATTTTAGTCCTCATTTTCCAAGAAAGGAAGGTGACTGGATAAAGCCAAGCCTGCATTTCTCAGATACTCAGCTTCCTGGTTGCAGAGAAAAGACTGGAAATCTTCTATGCGCCCTAGAAGCAAGAGGAAAGCAGAAGATACAAAGTCTTATTAATAACATTTACAATTTCACAGTTTAAGACAAAAATCATCATTTTCTGTGGCCCAGTGTGCGACTATTGAAAATCTGTATTGGCGGTGTTGCAAATTACTTATGCTCTTGGAGGAATACGTAACGCGTGGAAAACTCATGTAAACATTTTCTTTTGCACTTACGTGGCTCTCCAGTACTAGGGCCACCCGGGGGGTGTGCAGGCGAGGCAGCTCTGAGACCTTACCAGCAGCGAGGCAGGAGACCACAACCCCTTATTCCCATCATACCTCTGGCAACTCCATCTCCTCCTTATGATCTCCTGCAGAAATCCTTTTTACAGTGAAGGAAAGGAAGTGGTTCTTCCAAGAAACCACTCCTAGTGTTTCTTCAACACTGCACATCCTACTTTTCTTACTGTCCTCATACCAAGGTTCCTGACACTGGCCTCCCTTCCTCCCATCAATTTTCCTGGGCTTTCAGACTTGCTCTATGCAAAAATTGGAAGAAGGGGTGAGCAAATCTGCCAGTGCTGCCTCAAGTCTTGACTGGGGAGTGAAGGAGGGATGGCATATGCTGTCCTGCCTTTGCTACCCATAGGACAACTGAATCTTGTCCAGTGAAAAAGAGTTGTTTCAAAAACTGTTGACATCCCAAAAATGTGAATGATGGTGAGTTCACCACAATCACTGGTATATTCCCTATTTCTGAATATGTGAATATATGGGAAACAGAATAGCCATTAGCCAGGTAAAGAGCCCAAAGTGGAGAGGAGGGAAGCTATGGTGGTGAAAAGGGATTGATTGATTGATTGATTGATTGATTGATTGATGAGACAAAGGAGTGAAAAACTCAGAAATAAGGATTTTCCCAGTACCTGGGAAAGGGAGGAGAAATACCTATGTCTTTCTGAAGGGACGGGAAGTATTCACTGAGCTACCCTTCAGAAAGTGAATGTATGCCTTTTTTTGGTGGGTATTGACTTTCAGGTCTGATCCCCATTCTGGCTCAGCAAAACGAAATACAGACTGGGGTCGCAGGACAGATGGTGACGCTGAACTGCAGAGGCATCCCTCCTGAAAATGATGTGACCTGGAAGTATTACAAGGTTGTCATAAGGGTGTATACAACCACCTATTTGAAAGGTAAGGCCTCCAGTTCATCGCCCCTTCTCCCCAGTATACAGCTGAGAAACCTCTTCCTTTCTAACCAAGCGTATTTTTTCAAAAGGTAGAGCTGCGATGACCGATCGATCTGAAATCGACCCCCACAGTAGACACCTGACAGTGTCGGACTTAAAGCTCTCCGACGCTGGCATCTACACGTGTGAATATGGCTCTCGCACAGTCAGTATCTCGCTGCACGTCTTCAAATGTGAGTCATTAGAGGGCTTCTATCCATGAGGAGGTGAGGGTGGAGGAGACTGTAGAGCTTGGCGAGACATCTCTGCTGGGTTTCTTCAGCTAGATGCCATTTCTTCTGGCCTGGGCTATCGTGGTTCATTCCTCCTCCATCTCCAGGGCACAAAGTCTCTGTGTTCTCTTTGCTGTCACGCTTGTCCGTCTCTCGCAGGAAAAGGAGTTGACTTGCTGGCTGCACTTGCTCTTTTCGCAGTGACGATCTCTTTAGATGGGCACTTCCTGCCAAATGACGTCCCCGAGCTGACTTTAATGCAAAGTGCATCCCATCCTCTACCCGATCTCAGCATCGCAGTGTTTACCAGCAACAGTAACACAGTCATACCAGAAGTCTTACAAGACAAGACCCATCAAAAATACATACTGAAGTTAAAGAAGCTGAAGGTTATGGACAACGGGCGTTGGATGTGTCACGTCCATTCAGACTCGCCATTGATTAACCAGAGCATCCCCTTTGACGTGAAGGTATTAGGTATGTGACAACAAAAATGCAACTCACACACAGGCTTGGGAACCAGCGCTGCCTCCAGCTCATGAGCGGAGCTTTCACTTCCCAGCATTCCAAAGCAATGGTGCTTCGGGGTCGATTTCCCAGGGCTTCCAACACGGCAGCTTGGGGCTTTGCTCTGCTGCTTGAGCTCTGTTCCACACTTACTCCCATTTTCCTCTCCAGACGTGGTAAGGAGAGGATCCTCCTCCCCTTGGGGTTTGTTCTTCTCATCTCCGGTGAGCTCGGGAACTTTGGCTCTTTAAACCCATCCTGAGACACTGTTTATCTCATGGCTTTTCTCCAAGTACTCTTTCAACTGAGCAGTGCGTGAATCTCTCCAGTTCAAGGGGGGACACGGGGAAGCGTAGCCATAGCATTCTCTGCCTCTGTATTCCTTCTCTCTTCTGAATTCAGGTTTTCAGAACCCGGATTTGCAGAAAAAGTACGCAGCTGTTGATAGTCCTGTTGTCTTGACATGGCATCTGAACTTCCAGAAGATAAGATGGAAAGAAGGTTTCACCGGACAACTGAGTTGGAAACAAGAAAATGCAACCACTCACGAGCTTCTTGATTTCAACGTCACAGCACAAGGAAACAAGCACGAGACCAGAAAAAGCAGACACTTTTGGTTTGAGATACCTGAAAAAAGACCTGACAATATAGAAGTGAAACTCCCCAAAGTCCATTTCAGCCACTCGGGGCGGTACCAGTGCCAGCTGGTGTACAAGAGGAGACGTGTGCAGAGCGAGATAGAGCTGGTGGTGATGAAAGGTGAGAGAGAGAAGTGAGTCAAGAGTTGAGGAGCTGCAGAAACCTCGAAACCACAAGAGTACGGGTGGACTCGTCGTCCCATCCTCTCACTCACATGTCCTTTTCTGACCTTTACAGTCTCAGCTAACCATGTTGGGCCACTCCCCAGAGGGGCCCAGGTGACCCTGACCTGCCAGGTCTCTAGTCCACTTCCACCCAATGCCCACTTGCTCTGGGAACGTGTGAATGGGACTCAGATGGACATCAAGAAGTCCAAGCAGCATGAAGTCAAGCTGGAGGTAAACGTCAGTGCCGCAGGGCTGTGGAATTGTCACCTCGTGGAAGACAATGACAGGAAAATCAGCTCTGATTACCTCGTGGGTATGGAAATTAGCATCACATCCCTGCCTCCACCCAAAAGCCTTAAAATTCTCTTTGTTTGTGTGTCTTAATACTTTTCTCCTCCAACAGAGGAAGCTCCTGTTTGGATTAGCTATGTGGTAATTGGAGCAAGTATTGGAGGCAGTGTATTGATGTTTGGCCTTGCATGCCTGTGCATCATCAGTGGGGTAAACCGGCAGCGGAGAAGGGTGAGTGCCCTGGTCCTTGTGGAAAGTGAAGAGATTACAGTCTCCTCAAACCATAGGCAGAGTTTGATTTTATTACTGGGTGTGGGGCAGAACAGAAAAAGGGTCAGTGCTTAGACTCCCAGCAAACAGTTAAAGATGGACAGCCTGCAGACATCAGACTGTACTTTACTACCACTTGGAAAGCATTTGAAACATAAAAATATCCAATCATTATTTATCCCTTCTCTCCTGGCAGCAACGGGCAAAAAGGATGGCACGAGCCAGACAATACTTGCTGGAAAACAAGACATGTCAGTGTCAACAGTAAGTGGCAATGAGGGCACCCAGAATGGGCAAAGACTGCTTGCAAGACAGGGAAACTGGATTGTCAGGCAGAGAGAAATGGAGCTTGAGCCTGCTTGGTGCTACAGTACAGCTGCATTTCAGCATTTTCAGCTCCTGCTCCTCTTAAGTCGTGCTTAAGATTTATGACCTATGTTTAATTTTCTGCTTAATTTTCACTGGTGACAGTGGCCAACTGTGATAGTTTCACTTATTTTGCTCACTATCACTGAGAATTCAGCGAGAAAGTTTATTGCTGTGGAACCCACAGCATCGGAAGGATATAGACCGGTTGGAGCGAGTCCAGAGGAAGCCACGGAGATGCTCCGAGGGCTGGAGCCCCTCTGCTATGGGGACAGGCTGGGAGAGTTGGGGGTGTTCAGCCTGGAGAAGAGAAGGCTCCGGGGAGACCTTATAGCACCTTCCAGTGCCTGAAGGGGCTACAAGGAAGCTGGGGGGGACTTTTTACAAGGGTCTGTAGGGACAGGACAAGGGGTAACGGGTTTAAATTGAAAGTGGGGAGGTTTAGATTGGATATCAGGAAGAAATTCTTCCCGCAGAGGGTGGGGAGGCACTGGGACAGGTTGCCCAGAGAAGCTGTGGATGCCCCATCCCTGGAAGTGTCCAAGGCCAGGCTGGATGAGGCTTGGAGCAACCGGGTCTAGTGGAAGGTGTCCCTGCCCATGGCAGGGGGGGTGGGACTGGATGATCTTTAAGGTCCCTTCCACCCCAAACCATTCTGTGATTCTATAACTGGTACTACTTCATAGCTGGGATGTGTATGTGGTGAAGAGTTGGTTAGCAGAAGGTGTCAAAGAATCCACCTCATTTTCACCTACTTTTTAATCAAGATGACCTTTAACCTTCTTAATCAAGGTTAAAAAGTATTATCTGTAAAGAGACAACAAATCCCATACACCGACATCAAAAACTAGATAAAATCTGTGCAATACAAGTGCTGATAGAGTCGTTCTTTAACTCTCTTTGCCACGTAAGCACCTCGGTGTAACTGAAACCTAAACTGCAGCCATGTGGATGCACGAGCAACAGTTTGCATCCTCAGCTACAGAGGTGGGCGGTCATTGTCTATGCTACGCAAAAAAAGCGGTGGGTTCGCTGGCTTCGAGGGAGCTGAGCGAAGCCTTTCGCCTCCACAGTACTGGTACTCACACAGTACTTTTCTCTTCCAGACGGCTGAATAAGTAGCATTGCAGCACTGGACCCAGAAGGACTGATGGAGTCGCTGTACCTGAACACCTGCCAGCCCCTGGTTCGCTGTGAATCCATCTGCCCTTCTCCTGTTTTGCTGTAATTGTTTATTCCTTCACCATTCCCCCAGTTTAATGCCGTGGTGGGATGTTGTCTGGCTAGGAGCCGATGGACAAGACAAGAGACCCTTTTGGGTTATGACGGATCCCCAGCTCTATAACGAGAGACACTGAATGGAAGATAGACATATATACATATATATATATGCTTGTATTTGCTCGTGCACTTAATTTGACCTTCTCGAGGAACCATTTTTATGAGCTTCTTTTATCCGTCTAAGCTACAATAAATTACTTCAGGGTTGGGTTGGGGTTTTGTTTGCAAGCTGGACTAAATTTTTTCTCAGGCGCTCTTGTCTGGTTCAAATTCACATTTCTCCCTTTCCTACCAGGATGTGGAAGCCCGATTCTCACTATCTCCCACCTCCCTGGCTGCCACAAGCTTTCCTTAACGCACCAGTTCTCCGTGAAACCCATCCATCCTCATTTGCCTTTCCTGGCCAGCCTGAGCCCTACAGTATCCCCCAGACCCATCCCTCAGTCTGTACTCTTCCCCTCTCCCACGACAAACCAACGTGCAAGCGAAAACACCACGAGCAGTGGGATAATTTGGGACTAATTTTGTCAGGGAGACGGTTCAGGATACCAACAGCTTCTGGAAATCGGAGCCTGAAGAAGCTGTGAATCTAATCCAGAAGGTAAATTTGGGAAGTGGGTGATAAAGTCCTTTCCTAGGAGAACCAACGTCTTGGACTGTGCAGAGAACACACTTCCGAGAAAGCCACCAAAAATGGTTCTTGCCAAAATGACTTGTTGTTGGCTCAAGGAAATGGGAACAGGGTGCAAAAAGCCGAGGAAATTTAGGATGGCAGTAAAAGCATGTTGCAGAGGCGCCAGAATGCCCCGAAAGAAAAGTACTGCTAAAATATGTACACAGAAGCCCTGTGTTTATGGAAGTTATTCTACCGTCTGCTAGAGGCA